ATACATTCATCTATTATATTGTCGAGTCAACTATACTACAACATAAAATTTTTGTTCATAATTTTTTTTTGAAAAATGTATTATTTTCTGGTGATTTTTTATGTCGAATTGAGAAAAAATATGCTTTTTTTAAATATTATTGAAGTTATTGTGATTGTATTGATGTGTTAAAAAAAATAATACATATGAGAAAGTTGACAATTATGAAAATTATACTTTATTAATTGTAATGACATTATGTTATTTTGATGCTATACTTTTTGTACTAATTAAATAGTGCTCTTAACATGAAATTATTTTGGATTCGCCATTGCAGCTATTTTTTTAATGGAACTTTCATTGATATAATGGTACTATATCGATATAAATTCTTGGTAAAAATTAATTAATTTCAACGTATAAAGGCATATCATAATTCTCTGTATATTTTTAAATAGGTGAGTAATGGTACTATATCGATATAAATTCTTGGTAAAAATTAATTAATTTCAACGTATAAAGGCATATCATAATTCTCTATATATTTTTAATTAATGATGGATAAATGTACAAATAACTATTGTCTATCATGTAAAACTTACACTTAGAATTAATAAGAGAAAAAAAATTAACAAGCGTTTAATAACACCTGAATTGCGTTAAGAAATTGAATCCACCAAAAAGCTCATATTAGCTCTCTTAATTCCTCTAGTAGTGACAACTCGTTTACATCGATATTTATTAACTATAACATTTTATTGTTAGTTTTTAATATTTATTAATAAGTGTTACAACTTAAACGGATTTTTAATACTCTTTATCAAATTTAATACTTTTTTCCTTTATATTGTTATTTATATGTTTATATATGTGTGTGTGTATATATATATATATAACTTTTATATTTGTTAAAAAAGTGCATAAAATTAAATATAGAACCTTTTGGGTCATATGTCTTATTATATATCAATTAATTGTACATAGTTCTATTTTATTATATATAATTACAGTTTTCTCATTCATTACATGAAAATAAATAGACTGGGTTTTTAGTATTATACATTTTCATAAAATTATTCTAACTTTATTTTAAGCAAAGAAATTGGGTTGATTAGAAGTTTAGATTGCAAAACAATCATTCAACAATTAATCTCTCATACTATTACAAAAATTATTAATCCTCATACTATTACAAAAATTATTACTTTTTATAGGTTATTTTGAAAGAAAAAAAATGTTTTTATACTTTATAGTCTTTATGAGGACAACATAATGGGTTTCAATTTTTTTACTTATAGTTATTAATAATAAATGACTAATGGTGACATATGATATAATTATTGGTAAAAAATAATTAATTTTCAGGCATATCATGATTCTTTAGATATCTTAATTAATTCGTAGATAATTGTATGATCAAAATAAAATCATGCTGCTCAACTAATATCCCATTCGACATGAAAAAAATTGGATCAGATTTTAGTATTATATAATTTCATAAAATTATTCTAATCTTATTTTACGTAAAGAAATTGAGTAGATTAGAAGTTTAGGTTGCAAAATAATTATTCAAAAATTTATCTCTCATATTATTACACAATTTATTCTTTTTATATACTAATATCCCATTCGACATGAAAAAAAATTGGATCGGGTTTTAGTATTATATAATTTCATAAAATTATTCTAATCTTATTTTACGTAAAGAAATTGAGTAGATTAGAAGTTTAGGTTGCAAAATAATTATTCCAAAATTTATCTCTCATATTATTACACAATTTATTCTTTTTTTATTCGTTATTTTGAAAAAAAATATTTTTATAGTTTGTGGTCGTTATGAGGATAAACAAAGAAATTGAGTAGATTAGAAGTTTAGGTTGCAAAATAATTATTCAAAAATTTATCTCTCATATTATTACACAATTTATTCTTTTTTTATACGTTATTTTGAAAAAAAAAATATTTTTATAGTTTGTGGTTGTTATGAGGACAAAAAACATCGATAGTAAATATTTTACTCATGGTTATTAATAAACTTGTAAAATTAAATAAATATTGTTGAAACAGTTATCTTACTTGATAGGATACTTACGGTTTAATAAACCCTTAAATTTTATTTTGAAAATCATAAAAGTATTTAAGAATCTTGAATAATATCAATAAATAAAATATTTTATATATAAAATTTTGAATTATAATCGTTTATAGATCGCTCAACTTGAAAATCAATTGATCAAATGAAATAATAATAATTAAAGTGTCATGAACATTTTTTATTAATAATTGAATGAAAAATTCATATATTTTAAGTGTTAATAATTAAAAAATTACACAACTTGATTTTAAAAATATAAAATTCATATATTTTAGGTAGTTCATTTATTAATTAAAATATAAAATAAGATAGGTATTATTGTATTACTAATTTGCCATTAAAAATATATCAAAGTAAGGGTTTTTTAGGCAGGTCATTATTTTTACAAAATCACTCGTCCTTTTATAATAGTATAGATAGATAGATAGATAGATAGATAATAGTATAGATAGATATAGATATAGATGTAGATAGATATAGATAGATAGATAGATATCAAATGTAAAGGCAAAAACAGAAAAAAAGATAGTCTTAGTTACTGAATGCATTTCATCATTTTACTATTAATTTCACCCCAATCTTCACCTATCTTCAGTTCAACATGCATAAACACGTATATGAGTTTAATATGAACCCCAAGATCCTTAATCCGTAATTAGCCTTAATACATGAAATAATTTGGGATCCATTATTGGGGCTACTGTTATGAAACACTTGTTACAGATTACTCTAACTAAGTTAGCCTAGTCATCAAGATGACTCAGCATGTTTAGCATGCTTATTATTCTCTAATACGGGGAAAAAATAAATCTTGTCGATGCCATAGTTCTTGGATTTTTGGTTATTTATTGACTGTAAAGCCTGTTATCTTGAAATGATCTACAAAAGGTAAGGTTTTTGTATACGTTTTTCTATTTGCTTGGCTCAGGTTTCATTAATTGTACCCAAGTCCCCTGGATTGCAAAATTGATGCGTGCAGTACAGTTGGGAACAGGATAATCGGATTTTGTCATATGAGTATGCTCAAATGGGTAAGTATAGGAAATAAAACCAACAGGTAGAAGGGCATGCTTATACTTTTTGTGAAGGAATACACCATCAGATTTATGTGTAGGAAATATTAATATGATTCGGCAGAGGTTGCAATATGAGCTTTCCAACCTTGCAGTATCTTTCAGTTTACTTTATCCCCATAATACTTTCCATCTGCTCCAACATCAAGTATTCAAACAGGAACAAAACATACGAAGGTTTATAAATTCCTCATTAATTTGTTCTCATTTGTCATACAATTCTGACGGGTTTCTTTTATTTTTTGCCAATTTGAAAAACAATTTATTTCTTTCTAACATGGTTTTGAAAACTGGACCGGACTGAGTTGAACCAAGAACCAGCCTTCAAATCCAAACCGGTTTGGACCACAAAACCGGTAGGCAATCGAACCGGCCAAGAACCGTTCGAACCGGTCCAAAACACGTTGAACCAGAACCGGTTTGAATAGTTCAACGGTTCTGGGTTTTGAACTTGTTACGAGTTGATTGTGATGCCATTTAAATAACAATTTTTTTTTTATTTGTGTTTTCAATGTGGGAAATGTTCACATATAAAGGTCCTTGTTGAATTTATTGGGCCAATATTGGGCCTTTCAAGCAAAATTGTGTTCATTAAAAGAAAAATGTATTATTTTCTATATGAGCTATTTATTGGGCTGTATCTATTTTCCATTTATTAAAGAATAAAGAAGCAATTTATTTTTATTTGTTATGCACATACATTGTATTTTTAATTTTTTAATCAATAATAAAAAATCTTAAAGTATGATTTAAAAATTAAAAGAGTTGTTTCTATTCTCTATATTTTGTAACTTAAATATATACTAAAATCTTAAATATAAAAAAAATAAAATTAAAAAAGTTATCAACATTATTCAAAACTGTTGGTTGTATTTAATATTGAACTCTTATTTAGAGAAACAACATATATACACTATAAAACTAATGATAAAAATATATATGATTATATTATGCATATAAAATAATATATTCATTAAACCGGCTCGACCACTGGTCCGACCAGTGAACCATTGAACTGGTAGCTTCACCGGTTCGTTGACCGGTTCGGTTTTCAGAATTATAATTTTTAATTCTGTTGAAATTTATTGTAAACGTTGTGAAGATAAGAGTTTCAAACTAAGAAAAAAAAAATGGGGCCAGCACAGCGGAAGACTTTCTAGTTATAAGAATAAGAGAGATATATATTACGAAAAGAAAATAAAAATAAAAAAATTAAAAATAATGTTTTAAAAAGATATTTTATTTAATAACAAAATATTTTTTTGGTGGAAAACAACACAACTTTGTGTAAATAAATACTACCTCCTTTTTTTTATAAATGTCATTTTGGCTTTATCAACAATTGTCTAAATAAATGAGTTTTTGGATCTTTTGTACATATTTTTTCATTATTACCCTTATCTAGCTAATAAATACACTACGTCTTTTCATATTCACTCTTTATCTTTTCTAAAAATATCTATCTCTATCCTCATTAATGAGAGTTATTATTGGCCAAAAAAATATTCTTAATTAATGTGAAACTTTCCAAAACGACATCTATTAAAAAAAGGAGGGAGTATCTTTTTATGAAGATATAGATAAAGGTAGGTAAAGCTAGTATATACGTACTTATAAGGGAAATAACCAAGACCAATTATTATATAATTTACAACCAAACATAGGCTAAAGAAACTAAAAGATTAATAAAAAAAATAGAGGGCGAGACAATTGAAAAGCGTGAAATTTATTTTATTGATGCACGAGGATGAAGAAGTACAAGTACTGAAGCAAGCGTTATTAGGTTGTGAAACAACTCTTTATTGAACAAACACAAAGTAGGAGTGTAGGTGTGAGAGAAGATGACGATGACATTAAAGTAGTTTGCAACCAGCGCGTCCTTTGGATACTCCATAGAGACCATCCGGGTTGGGCACCACTCCCGCCAGCTTGTTGTTATAAAAATCGGACTCGATTATAGAAACCATTTTGCACAGATTTGGTGGAATTGTGCCCGTAAATTTGTTGTGCGACAGGTCCACCCTTTCCAAGTTGGTCAGCCCTTCAAATGACGTCGTGATTTTCCCCGACAGAAAATTATTACTGAGGTCTGCCAAATACTCGACATTTTTCAAGTTGCCAATTGAATCCGGTAATTTACCAGAAAAATGGTTACGGCTCAAGTTGAGGCTCAGCAAGCGACCCAGATTCCCGATTTTCTCTGGAATATTCCCTGACAAGTTATTACGTGACAGATGAAGAAACTGGAGTGCTGTTAGCTGGCCGACCTCCCCAGGGATTCCTCCGCTCAAATGATTGTTGCTCAAATCGAGATAAAAAAGCCGGTTCAGATTCATGAGCTCGGCAGGGATATTTTCCGTTAGTTTGTTGGAGCTCAAGTCGAGGACGCGCAGTTGTTGAAGATTCCCTAGATCGGATGGAATAGGTCCAGAGATTTTGTTATCATTGAGAAGAAAATCGGTGATGCGTGAGTTGTCGGCCCATTTGGTCGGGATCGGGCCGGTGAGTTGATTCTTGCTCAGGCTTAAGAACTCGAGCTGCTCAAGTGTGCCAAAACCATCTGGAATACTTCCTTTAAGATAATTCGATTCGAAAAGCACCCGCGTAAGATTTGGTAGGTTGGAAATGCAATTGGGAAGGGGCCCTGTCAGCATGTTGTTGCTGAGCAAAAGGTATTCGAGGGACTTGAGTTGCCCAATCTGGGCAGGAATGTTCCCACTGAGTTTGTTGCCAACAAAATCGAGGGTCAAGAGGCTTGTCAGGTTCCCTATTGACTGAGGTATCTTGCCAGACAGAAAGTTTGCTGCGAGGATTAAGTATGTCAGATTACTCAAATTTCCTATTTCTTGCGGTATATTGCCCGTAAAATTATTATTGTTGAGTACCAAAGCGTTGAGATTTGTGAGGAGGCCTATCTGGGATGGGATTTCCCCTGTGAAATTGTTTTTTTGGAGCATTAAGTATATTAGTTTGGTCCACGAGGCAATAAAATTGGATATAGGGCCGGATAAGTTGTTTTCGGATAATACCAAATAGGATAAGTTGGTTAAATTCGACAGGGAGTCGGGCAGAGTCCCGGAAAGGAAATTGTTGGCTAGTGATAAGTAGGCCAGATTAGTGCACTGCCCGAGCTCGGAAGGAATTTCCCCAGTGAATCTGTTTGACCAAAGGTCTAAATACTCGAGTTCTGTAAGTTGACCTAAGAGAGTCGGTATAACACCGGTGAGTTGGTTTTGAGAAAGATCGAGAAATGTGAGATTCTTACTGTTTAGTATGAAATGCGGGAATTCAGAAGTGAGGTAGTTTAGGGAGGCGCTAAAATAGGTCAAGAAAGGGAAACCACTGGTTTCAGATAATTTCTTATTAAAGCCATTGAGAAAGTTGCCGCCAAAATCGAGGTACACCAGGTTCTGGAGGTTGGCAGTCTCTGAAGGGATATCCCCGGTCAAAATGTTGTTGAAGAAAGTTAAATTCCGCAGATTGGTTAGTTGTCCAATCCGGGATGGAATGGAACCGCTGAAATTATTGTTGCTGAGGATTAAGGAATTGAGGTTGGACAGAGTGCCAATATTTTGTGGTATGGTGCCGCTGAATATGTTTCCGTCGAGGTCTAAAATTTGGAGGGAGGATAATGAGGTGAAATCGAGACGAGATAGAGTTCCGGTGATACCAGCATTGGTTAGGTTAAGAGCAATAACCGAACCATTACTATTGCAAGTAACGCCATACCAAGCGGACAAGTTTTTGGTGTTACTTTCGGACCATGTAGTTGCTAGAGCTTGGGGTGTTGTTGAAAAAGTGTTTTTCCATTTCAATAGCGCTTTGGCTGTTGGGTTTGAATCTGAACGTGCTGAGGAAGGTATGGTATTGAGGAGGAAAATGGGAAGCAACAAAACGAGGTTGAGTATTTGGTGTGGGTTCATGGTTGCTTTTTTAATTTTGTTGTGGTGGTTAATGTCACAGCTGTGTTGTCCTATTTATACACGAGTCCGCCTATATTTTAAATTCATAAAAGTGATAGCTGAACAATTTGAGATTTGTTTTTCACAGTAGCTCTAAAATAATATTTTATCAGAATATAAAATGGGAAGATCTATGCTTTCTCTCCCTTTATTTAATTAGGTCTAGATATTATTTTCATAAGTATGATAATATATATTTTAATGAAAGAGCTTTAATGAATAGTGAGACGTTCACGGAAGAGAATTTTATCTTTGNCAAAGATTTGAAAGATACTATTGTGTACATAGGATCATCATATTTTGTCTTTATTAGTCTTTTTTTATAACCATGATCCTCAATGATTTTGGCTTGATTCATCTTATTTTAAGTTTTAGATGAGAAGAATCTTTAATTACTTTTCATATATATGTTCCTCAAGTAATGATCTGTTTTTTTTAGTTGATCAATTTTTTAAGTAAATGATCATTGTCTGTATTTTTTTTTAAGTAATTAAACGTTTGACAAATTGTAGAAATGATATTTTGTTTTCTAACAAAGAATTTATTTCAGAGTTTCCAACTATCAATTTAAGGAATTCAGGTTGGAACACGCCAAGTGTCCTGATACTCCTATGAGTAGTCGTAAAAAGCTTTCTAAAGACGATGCAAGAACGCCGATTCATTGAGCTTTGTATAGGAACATGATTGGTAGCCTCTTGTTTTTAAATGCTAGCCGACCTCATTTATGCTTTAGTGTAGGAATATGTGCGCATTATTAATCTAATCCTAAGGAATCACATCTTATTGCTCCTCTGACTTCAATTTAACGCTCCTCTCTATTTTGTGAGTTGTTCCTTTCTCGTACTTCTTTTTATTGGGATTTTTATTATTTATGAGCCGATATAGAGAGTCGTTAAAAAGTATATACATGAGGAGGAACCAATAGTCTTAATGATACAAACATTCCTTGTGTCGTAATTAAACTCGCATCCAAATCAAAGATCAGAAATCAGACCCTATTTTATTAGAACATTAATAATCCATTAAATATATTATCATTTTAATCATGTTTGATTATTAGTTTAATTTGGTTGAAATATGTATATTAAATTCGATTATTAATTCAATCATCTACTTATGTAATATTTTTTCATTGGCCAAGACATTTATGAGTACATAAAGTCTAGGACGAATTTTTTAAACTCTTAAATGGTGATATTGGAGAAAAAATTATATAAAATAGGTGTACTATTTTTCATTATTGATTTATTTGTGATTTATCGTTTGTGTACGCTTTTTTCTTGTTGGTTTAATATTATAATTTTGTCCCGCCGACAAGAAACTCAAGATAAAAGTCTTAAAGTGTGTATATATATATATATATATATATATAGGGGACGGATCCAATGAGACCACTCCTTAAAATGAGTACGTGAGACTCAATCTTAGCCACTTATTTTGTCTAGATCAAAATCAATTAACATATACATTAATTAAATAATAAAATAATTATTAGTTGACTCCGACGTTGGCCGTTGACTTCCGGCGTTGACCTGTTGCATTGAAATAAATAACCTAGCAACAAAAGACACTCAACCTTGAGTGGTGTAGTGGTTGCATTGCTTGTCCTGCTTCCATGAGGTACCAGGTTCAAATCCTATGGGTTGCAAATTTTTTTTTAAGATAAAAAACCTAGCAACAAAAGACAACTAACCTAGCAGCATCAGACAACTAACCTAAAGAAATAACCTACCAAAAGACAACCTATCAGCAAGAAAGAAGAAATAACCAACTAGGTAGCAGCATCAGACAACTAACCTAAAGAAATAACCTACCAAAAGACAATTAACCTATCAGCAAGAAAGAAGAAATAACCAACTAACCTAGCAGCAAGAATATCCTAGCAATAAAATACAACTAACCAAAAACCTAACAATAAAATACAACTAACCTAGCAGCATCAGACAACTAACCTAAAGAAATAACCTACCAAAAGACAACTAACCTATCAGCAAGAAAGAAGAAATAACCTAGCAACAAAAGACAACTAACCTAGCAGCATCAGACAACTGACCTAGCAACAGAAGACAACTAACATATGTTCACTTTCATGCACATATGTTCAGGAGCACCACCACTATGCCGCCACCCGCCCCTGTCGGATACCACCACCCACCAGCCCGATTGTCCCGTCACGGCGGACGTCTAACCCATAGTCGACGCCACTAGTCCACGGCGACCGCAACAGTTGCCCTCGCAACCACCAACAACGACGAGCTCCGCAACCGCCGTCAACAGCCCGACCAGCCCTGCAACTGACGAGCTCAGCAAGCGGCCGCCAGCGTCTTGGTCACTGATGAGCTTAGCACTCTGGGAGATTAGTGGTCGACGAAGCTGAGGTGGTTGAGGACGGCAGCGTCTCAACTCGAGAGCCGTGGACAGGGGTCTGCAGAAGGGGCGGGCTACCGCTAGCGAAGGAGATTCACCGGAACTGCAACTGTAGAGAGATGGCGAGGGAGACGTTGAGGCGATGGCGGCGGATCTCCGGGAGCCAGACCTCTGGTCGCGGTGGTCGGCAGCGGGTCGACGGAGGAGCATAGATATGGAGGATGTGGTTTGTATATAGGGGCTTTACTTTGAGAATTTAATAAATTGCAAGGACATATTTGCAATGTCAACAATTTTATTATATTACATTTTAATACCTAGGTTAGATATTTAATTTATACAAATAGTAAATGCACAATATCGATTATAGAACGCACAACAACAATACATGAAAGGCACAATATTGTGTGACGATATACACATTAAAAAATATGTCATATTATTATGAAATTACATAATCTATACCTTTAGAAGTGTACAAATTTACCAATTAGGGCATATTATACAAAAATGTCAAAACTGAATTACCGAGTTGAGCGTTTAAAAAAATTAATTAGGTCTATGGTGCATTTTCGCACTCAATAATGTGCAGCTTGTATAACAATATTGTGCATTCATACTGCATTTTTAATGATTTGATCCAAACCAAATTTAAACATAACGAAACCATCGATTTTTTCGATTGGTTATAAAAATATCTTAAATACTCAAAATAATTTATTATTTATATTATAAAGGTATATTAAGTATTTTAAAATTTAAATTTTATATTTATTTTTGGTTGAAATCGATAATGTGCGTTCCTACACAATCTAATGTGCATTCTGTTTAACATTATAGTGCAATCCATTTTG